GATAGATAGACAGATATATAGATAAACAGATAAAAAGATAGACAAAGGGAGACAGAGAGAGAGGGAGGGAGAGAAATAGGTGAAGAGAAAAGTTGAGAGAAAAAAAAAAGAAATAGAAACAAAAGAGGAAGACGATTGAAAGAAAGATAGAAGAAATATATTCACAAAAAAGAGAAAATACCATAAAGAAGAAGAAAGAAAGAAAAAAAAAACAGTAAACAAAAATATAAAAAGACATAATCCCATCCATCGTTTCAGCAAATCGCTATCAGCTATCACCAATGACCCAGTAATTCAGCTGAAACAGAAGTGAAGTCTTATCAAGCTAAGGGCGAATCCTCGTGCAAACGGACCAACGCCACCGATATGCCAATCCTGTTAGCTGATCGAGCCAATCTCTCGTGCATTTAAAGAGAATCAACTTGATGACTAATATGCCAACCGGAGGGTCATTTCGCCAGCAAGAGCGAAGGACAAAGAGCCATTCACTAAGATAGCCTAAACAACTGACTAGCTTGTTAGTTGAAAGATTTGATATGGGAAAAAAGTGAGTTAATGGTACAGATTAATAATTTGATTAATTGACGTTTTATAAGATATAGTTTATGATACATACTGATAAACTTATAGCCTTTTGCTAATATATTCCGTTTGGATAGATGATTAACTAGCTAAAGAGGTAGTTAGTAATTGCACAATCATTAAGCACTTACACGCAGATAACTAGCCACTCAGTAACTCGATAATTAGACAATCAACAACTCTATATTAAATGGTAGTTACGCAATTAGCTAAAGACCATTTAGATAATTAATGGGTTGTTACGTAATGGACTCTTTGATGGTTAATATCTCACTTAATCAGTCATATGAATTGGCATACGAATTATTGATTTATAAATTTATATCAACCCGTTTACAGTTAGTTCATGCAATAATGCAGTAGTTCAGTAAGTCAGTCAAGAAACCAATAAATCAACAAATCTCGCAACAAAATCGGTGAGTCAGTGAGGACACCAACGAATCTAACAAGTCTTGCAACAGATGAATAAGACAGTAAGTCCGCAAGTCAGTAAGTCACTCAAACGACCAGTAAACAAACCACCTGCGCTATAAGTCCGCAAGTCAGTAAGTCACTCAGACAACCAGTAAACAAACCACCTGCGCTATAAGTCCGCAAGTCAGTAAGTCACTCAGACAAGCAAGGAATTAACCAGCCGCGCAATAAGTCCATAAGTACGTCAGTAAGTCAAACGGGCAAAGCAGGGGCGCCCGCAGACGTCGGGGGATGTCAGCTGTAGTAACATCAAAGGCGATGCATCACATTTGCCGTTCAGATGTGGTCGAGGGTAGCGGGGGGAAGGGGAGGAGAGAGGGGAGGGGGGCGGGGGAAGGGGAGGAGAGAGGGGAGGGGGGCGGGGAAGGGGAGGAGAGAGGGGAGGGGGAAGGGGGGAGGGAGAAGGGAGAAGGGGGGGAAAGAGAGGGAAGGGGAAGGGGAAGAAAGAGAGATAAGGGAAGGAAGGAAGGGAAGAAAGAGAGGGAAAGGGGAAGGGAGAAGAAAGAGAGGGAAAGGGGGAGGAAACAGAGGGAAGGGGAAGGGGAGGAAGGGGAGAGGGAGAAGGAGAGGAAAGAGAGGGAAGGGGGGAGGGAAGGGGAGGATGGAGGGAGAAGAAAGAGAGGGAAGGGGTAAAGGGATGAAAAGGGGAGAAGGGGAAGAAAGAGAGGGAAGGGAGAAGGGGAGGACAAAGAGGGGAGGGGGAAGGAGAAGAAAGAAAGGTAAAGGGGAAATGGAAGGGAAGAAAGAAAGGGAAGGGAGAAGGGGGGGAAAGGGAGGGAAGGGAAGGGAGGAGGGGAAGAAAGAGAGGGAAGGGGGAAGGGGAAGGGAAGGGGGAAGGAGGAAGGGGAGCAAAGAGGGGGAAGGAGGAAAGGGATAAAGGGAAGAAATAGAGAGAAAGGGGAAGGGGAAGAAAGAGAGGGAAGGAGGAAGGGGGAGGGGACGAGGAAGAAAGAGCGGGGAGGGGGAAGGGAGAAGGGGAAGGAAAAGAGAGTACTGGAGGAAGGAGGGGGGAAGGGAGGAGGGGAAGAAAGAGAGGGGAAGGGTAAGGGGATAAAAGAGGAAGAAGGGGAGGGGAGGAAAGGGGGAAGAGAGAGGGGAGGGTAATCGGAGAAAGGGAGGGAGGGAGGAAAGCAAGGAGACAAAGACAAAGAGGAGAGAGAGATAAAAATAAATAAAAAAAATAGAGAAAGAGAGAACGGAATGTGGGGAAGAGAGAAGAGAGAGATAAAGAAAGAAAGCACGAGAGAGACAGAGACAGAGACCGAAAGAGAGAGAGACGTGGAGGGAGGAATCAAACAACGTGAGATATCAAGACAGACAGATAATCAACAAATAAACAGAGAAAGAAAGATTGAAAAAATAAACACAAAACAGTCGCCCCCATAAGAAAGAGAGAGAGAGAGAGAGAGATAGAGAGAGAGAGAGAGAGAGAGAGAGAGAGAGA